TTTTTGGATGCAGTGGCCTATACCAAGATTATTTCGATGTTTCTCCATTTCCTTTATTGGCATGAACAGTCTTATAAAATAAATCCTATTAGATTGTAAAAAATGGCAATTTACCTTTAGGTGTTTCTTGAGGTTATAACTGGATTGATTTGAGGAAATATTTTTTTTATATTTTAAACAAATAAATTTAAAGCTAGTTTTGGTTTTTATATTTATTTTAAAAAAATTAAATCTAGGGAATGGGAAATTTGTATTATAGCTATTAAGAACATTTTCTTCCCTGGTATCTTCCATTTCATTAATATCATTATCTGAATCACTTTCAGATTTGGATATCCATAGGTGATGACATTTTAAATTATTACACGTGATTTAGGTTCATAATACAAATGTACCCAAGATTAATCTCAAATACCAGCTTATGGCATATTTCAAAAAATTTCCTGATCGAGACTACTCAAAAAAAGACAAATTTCAGACAAAATATAGTTCATGAGGTCATAATCTGGCTCCAATCTTATGAAGAAAAAACCTATGGTAAATAAAAGTCATATTGGCTGTACAAAACGATAAAAGATGTCATAAGTCTAAATCTGACGATGGACCAATTAATACGCCTAAACAATGATAAAGGTTCTATAAAAAAGCTACTAAAAATCAAATCCAACTATCTAAACCCTCTAAACCTTTCCGGTCCCCCCCCTAAGCATAAGCACCACCCTCCTCCAGCCATGGTAAACATACATTTATTTGTAAAAGTCCTCATTAACCTAAACCTTGATTAACTATCCAAAACATACTTAACTTAAGCTATCACCCCTCTAAGCTAATATTTTTTTAAGTAAATAAGGCAGTTTTTTAACACAATAAATCAATATTTATAATAAATAAACAAATTCTATACAGTTCATAAACTTAAAATCAACCAATACCCCTCCCTATAATATACAATTTACTTAATCGGGTACGGGCTTTTCTCTCTCTTCTTGTTTCCCGTAGGCGTTTAAGCAAGTGGCTTTGCTTCTTGCGCGTACAGGTAATTGCAGCCTGCCCAAAAATTTGTGGATGGACTCATCTCATAGGCTACCCCCATATTTCTTAACCCAATTAGATGGGATGAGATAGTCCAAGCGTAGCTCTGCTGTTTAATATAGCGATAAAGGGTGATTGCGCTTATTATGACGTATGACGTAAAATATAAATTATAAATTGAAAATATATTTCAATTTCAAAATTAAATAATAAATCATAAAAATTATAATTAATTATGATATTATATTTAAATTTTCATGTTTATACTTACCTTCATTATATTTTTTTTCTCAAAAAAGTAGCGAGCTAAAAAATTAAATAATTACAAAAAAAGTAGCCGCTAGTAGCTACAGCTACCAAAAAAGATAGCGTGCCAACTTTTGCACCAATCAAACTTAAGTTGTCCCGCTAAAAAAAATTTTGTCATGAGAAAAATAATGAGACCAAATGTCCCGTGAAAGTCAGCGAAATGAAGAAAATTAATCCTGCTAAATAGTCATAAATCTTAAAATTTCATAAAATCTCTCTAAAAACAGCTGTAAATTTCCTTGATATTTTATCAACTTTCTTTATTATCCTGCTAAATCCTATAAAGAAACAACTTTAAAAATGTTAAGAATGTACATTTAAATCATGCAAACTCCTCAAATTCAAGTAGAGAATAAAACAATAAGTATATTTTATGTTCATTATAGATATAATTTTTTAAATCTATTTTAATAATATATACTATACATTCATACATATGATATTGATAAAATATACCTAAAAAAGTTGTAATGAATGTGAGGTAAGATTTTATTTATTATTTAAGCATAAGGTTCCTATAACATTAACCAATAATAACACTAATGAAATTTATAGTTTAAAATTTTCCTTAACAATGGACATTTTTTTTGGAACCAATAAATGGAACCAAAAAAACAAATTGTGTTAATGTGGTCAATATTTTGTTTTAAGGACATTTTGATTTGTAATTTTTTCATTATTTTTAAATTCATTTTTACCTTAATATCATTTAACTTTATTAATTAATTTTTTATTATAAAATCTATTAAATTAAATTTAACATTTATATATTTTTTTGTTAAATTTATTTTGATTGTAACAGGTTAAATTTTTTATTTAAAGACAAAATAATTTAATAATCCTACATTATAATTTCCTCACCCAATTTTGGATGTTTCAACTATTTGGAATTCAACCTATTTAATTTTTGAAAGGGCGATAATAGCTAAATAAGTAAATATATTAATCATTTCCAAAGATACAGTTCCCCTTGAATGGTGGAAATCACACCAAAATGTATATCCTATATTATCAAAAATTGCCAAAGATTATCTGGAAAGGGGGGGGGCGTTATATTATAATTAACAACGTTGTACACTAGGTGAACTTTCTATCTAAACATGCCTTTGCATACAGAGTTGGATATGCATAGAGAACTTCAATAATATATAATTATTCTTCTTTATATAATATTACTAATTTTTGCACTGTTTTTTTTATATATTGTTTTGAATGAAAGTTTAAAAATTATGCTGTTTATTTATTTTATTTATTTAGTTTTGATTTGTTGAAAAATTATTGATTAAATCAAAATTTCTCAATTTCATACCATTTCAGATTTTTGAATTATTATTTATAAAGGAATCAGAAAAAATTGGGTTTGGTTCTCTAAAACAATATTACCACATAGTTTTTTTACATATATATATTTATTTTAAAATACAATTAAAGTATTTTTTAAATAACTTTACCATATTTATTTAAACAAGAGTTTTTAAAATCAAATTTTATTCTTTTAAATTATTAACAATTTGAAGTTAAACCAATAGCAATACCAAAACAAAATATAATATTGTTTAAACACTAAACCAATATTTTGACTCAATAACATTAGAATATTTTTTTATCTTGGGTTTTTAATAATGGTTCCCAGCCCTATTTAGCAGTACATACATAATACAATATCAATATTAAATATAAAATTGGTCAATATTTTTTGATAAGTAAAAAAAAAAAATTTACTCAGTAAAAGAAAATTTGTTCTTGATAAAAACATCCAATTCTTTATAACTAGTTAATTTGGCTAGTGAGGCCATTGAGGGGAGAGATAGAAGTCTGTCCACTCATTGGATAAAAAAATTGGAAAAAAGTTCATGGTGGCAGGTAAGGTTAACATGTTAGAAGGGTAATGAATAGTGTTGGTCGTCACATTCAACTAGTCCTTGCTGAATTCAAACCCATATCTATGTTTATAGAGTGATTCCTTAATCAACATCTAAAGCTATTGAACAATAGCCGCTACTCGGAAACAAAAAAAATTTTGTACAATGCTATCTAATACTTTAATAAAACAGGTAAAAAATCAATAAGATTTAATGTTATACATCATTTCATAACCCAAACTTTAAATGCCTAAGTTAATTACAAATTATATTTACATACACTATTAATTAAGTTTTCATTTCCTTTCTTCTATGTCCAATTTTTTTTTTTTTAAATTTGAAAAGTCTTACTTTCTAAATTTTAAAATTTTAATGAAATTGTACGTTAAATTTTTGAAATCAATAAAATTTTCTAGAATTATGTATTTTTATAAATTTTCATTAAAGTTTAGAAAGTTTGTGAATTTAATTTTTTGACATTTTATACACAGCCATGCTATAAACAAGTTATAAAATTAAATTATTGATTAATAAAATATAGTAATATAAATAACTATATTTTTCTTAATCTACTGATTAATAGTTAAATTTCTAAATGTATTGAAAATATATAATCCACTGGAGCATTTATCGATATATAATAAAAATAATAAGTTGGCATAATTTAATCCAATTAATTTAAATAGTAATGATAATTAATCATCTTTTTAAATAAAAATCATATAATAACTCAAATATTATTTTAAAGAATATCTATATTTATTCTAATTTACCTTATTTATAAATATTAATTACTATAAAAACTTTCATAAAGTTTTATATAAAAATATTTTAATTGTAGTTTATAAAAATTTTATTTTTAGGTCTAGATTTATGCAAAAATAAAATAGTTAAATATTAAAGATATATTGTTAAAAAATTATTTGTTACATATATGTTAAAATTATTGTAAATTTTACAAACTGAATATTTTTATTATATATGATAAAGTATTTTTTTAGTAAAACATAGTCTAAAAATTTATAAATTAAATTCCCTGTAAGATTCGCCCTACCAATCCAATGTTATAATTTTTAAGCCAGTGGCTTCCACCTTTGTGGAGCTTTTAGTTGAGATATCCATAAAATCATACTTAAAAGGCTCTGTTTTGTGTCCAATTATATGATTAATTAGATAAATATTATAAGTTCTCTTAAATTAGGCTTATCATAAAAGAATTTTAAAATCATTATATAAAATCTATAAAAAATTTAATTAATTTATTTATAAAATTATTTAATATAATAATTTTGAACATGTTAACAAAATTTAGGTCAAGATACTAAACAATATTTTTAGGTATTGCATATTCAGAAATTGGCCTATTTTTGTATCAATTTAATAAAAGTTATCCCTATAACCACCCCTTTGGTTCATTTCTTAAAATAATGGCAACAATTCATAATTTCAGAAGAATAAAAACCCAAAATCATTTCCTAAATTAATGACCAAAAACTTGTAATAAATAGACCTTGTAACGTATTATATATCATATAGGAGGAAAAGCAACTAATTGTGCTTTGCCCCTTAACATAATCCTGATTAAACCTTATTTTCACAAATATGAATTTTATGTAATAACCATATGAAGATTTCAGTTAAAATATTTTAAACATGGAATACTTATAAACCCTTAAGTAAAATAAAACAATATTACAAAATAATTTTAAAAGTACTACCAAAATAATAAGTTTCAGAAAAATATTAATAAATTATTAAGTATATAAATCAATTTCCAAGTTATTTAATATAGCTTACACCAATGTTGAATCAATATTTGACTGTGAGAAATAGGGGAACGTAATCATTTACATAATTGAATTTTAAACTTTTCAATATATCGATCGATATTTACAAATTTTGAACATCTGGATATAAATTTATTGGATATTTTATATATAAAAAAATGTATGGCAACTGCCACTTGTCAATTAATATTTATATCTGACAGAATAACTCAGGTGACAGTAGGGCGATAGTATGATATGTTAAATTATCAATTGTATTAATTTTAATTTTTTTTATTTTAATATATTTAAAAACCTGTAAGAAAATATTCCATAATTTCGTATTTTTTAATATTAATATACTCTATTTATCTATTAAAAGTACAAATATATAAGTATCTCTTTAGTTGTTAAAGTATCGTGATACCATATAGACTGTACACTATCCAATACCTTTTTTATTTTGAAATTCGATTATATCTATATTTGTCACTTTCCATCTATCTATATTGCAAAAATAGTTGAATTTTTTATTATTATTGTTAGTCTTAAATTATAGTAATTCCCTATTTTTTATACAAATTAAGAAATGAAAAAATGATATGGGCCATTCCACGTCAAATCGATCAATATTCGGCCACCCCTATTAAAATTGTTAAAATTTGGAATTATTTAGATAGGTAGCTCCCTAGCACACCTAGTTTCCTAGATATATGGGTTCAAATGTGCAAAAAAGAGCTAATTTGCAATCTGTAAAATTTTTGAAATGCTTATATCTCAAAAACTCTTTATAGTGAAAAAAATATATAATATATCATATTGTAGGTAAAAAAAATCTCTAACGGGCTATCTAAAAAAATAAAAATTAATTTGAGTCTTAAACTTCCGGTTTACTTAATTACTTTACCTGTATTTTTAAGCAAAAAGGGGAGTTTGTTTTAGAAATTTTTTTTGCTTTTTATTTAGACACTTTTATAAATATATATACTATGTCAAAACCTTAGCGACGCTATCGCCTTTACCGAAATATACATTTTTACCAAAATTTAAAGAAAAAAATAGATGGCGCTAATGGTTGAAAAATATTATCCTTAAGGAAAATGAAAATATTGTTACGTTTATAAGAAATGTAATAAAATTATCCAGTTCTGCCTCGCCTCCCCCCCCCCACCATCCTTAAAAAGTTGTACTTTGCTACTAGAGCGAATGACTTATTTGCTCGATAATATTTTAGCTGCAGTAAAAACGAATATTTTATTAGGCGAATTATCAATTATATTTTACAAAATAAACTGTTTAAAACTATCTCTCTTTCTGCGTAATATTTTTAACTTGTCCGTTCAAATTAATCCCGTCTGCAGCTTTTATTTTATCGTCTGTCTAGCAATAATATTCGGGATTTGGAGAGTGCAAAAACATATATTCTAGATACAGATCAATAAAAATTTTATTCTATATCACAGATGGACGTAACAAATATTAAAATGCTATGACCAATTTAATCTACAAAGACATGCTTATTATCGCAAGAGTCTAAGAAAGATTCTACCTTGGATGAACCAAAAAACTTACCATTCAATTTAGATATGTTAATATGCTAAAAAAATTCCCAGGCAAAGTACAAAGCTATAATAATTTTAAAAAATTCTTCTAAGCCCAATGAAAGATTATAATAATTTTGGTAATTGAGAACTGAAATAAAACATTTAAATAATCATAATGCATTTATAAATACAATTAGAATATGAAAGTTGCATGGGCCTTGGTTTTTTATCTGTACTCAAAAGAAATTTTCAGAAATTTTTTATTTAAAATTTAAAAAAATTCAGGAATCTAAGACTATATTAATTTGAAAAATGTTTCTCAAGCTACGTCCAAGTCCATATTAATTGTGAAAAATATTTCCCAAGCCCAGGAAAACCCAGAATAATATTTTTTTTCCCTTGGATCCAGATAAATAGGCCTGATGTAAAGGGTTTATATAAATTAAATATTTCTAATATGTACATATTTTTTTTGCCATTTATTATATTGGAAAAATTTTTCAAAATTATCATCAAATGAAGGGGAAATATATAATTCCAATTCATGAATAAATATTAAAGTACCATGCTGAAAATGTGCTTATCCAAATTTATTTTAAACAAACCACCACCCTTTCAAATGATTTATTACTTAGTTACAAAATATAAAATTAAATTTAAGACAGAAGATATTCTAAGTTAACAAATAATAGGAGGTTATCTTCAACTATAGTCAAATTATATATAAATAAAACAAAAAGGTTATACATTTAATCAAAAATTTTATAATAAGTTATGAATAACATATATTTTACAATTATGAAGTTATGATAAAATATACAACACTATGGAATGCATGTAGCAAGGCCAAATTTTCAGAAAAGATAAGAGAGATGCAAATATCTACTTATGCATAAAAATTACTTAATTTTGCAGGATTATTTATTTTTATCTTACCATCTAATGAGCCAAGGCAGTTTGGAAATCCATGTTTCTCAAAATATAAAATGTTTGATTTTCTAACTCTAAAATAATTAAAAATTATTTATTAATATTAAAAATTTACCTTGATATAAACTACTATTCCTGAAAGTGCCAACATCACATTTATATATAAATTTGTTAATTAAAAAATATTGCAGATTTTGCAGTTGATTTTTATGTGCTTACCATCTAATGAGTTTAAGCTGTTTGGAAATCCTTCTCAAAATATAAAGTGTTTGATCTTCTAACTAAAATAATAAAAAAATATTTATTAATATTAAAAATTTACTTTGATATAAACTACTATTTTTGAAAGTGCCATCATTACACAGCTAAACCAAGCAATCTATTGAAAAAATTGGCCATATTACAAATTGTTAAATATAAGTAACAATGTTATTAATGGATTTTTTTTATTGTAGAAGACTTAATGCTAGAAACGTTATATTATATTATATTTATTTAATATTAAGTCGATGTTTGAAACATTATATAAAATGATTTTTATTAAATATTAAATTGATGCTGATTTTGTATATATACCAAGATGATTATGATTAAGTTTTACCTTTTTTTCATCTTTTTGGAAAATAAAGAACTTTTTTTAATATATACTACATATTGTAAAATTAGATTTGCTCTAAGTAAATTATTTAAAATTGAGATATTCCTAATCCTCACGAGTTCCATATTCTACAATTAATGCTATATTCTTAACCTTCAATCATCCGTATTTATTGCAATTCAATGGTCCCCAAGTCTTTCTATACCTTTTTAGCTAGTCCATTATGGTGGAGGATAGGGGCATAATGTAAAGATCAAGGTATTATTGAAGACATTGGATCTAAAATTTCTAGCGGAGAATATTGTAGATGAAGCGACAAAAAAATATAAACTATTCGAAACAATGGACAAAGAGATGGCTGTGAGTATTATGGATAACATTGATAATTTATCTTACCAACAAATGAAAGAATTGATACAAAAAAAAGTTGAAAAGAACAAAATTACACATATTTTTGAATTGTTCAATGCTAAACCTGACAGACTTGAATCTTCGAGAGAATATCTTGACAGACTTAAAGATAGTGGTTCTGGGCTTAATTCGGAATTAATAGCTGTTCAGTTTATGATTAATTGTCGAAATGAAAAACTTAAAACAAGATTGATAGAAGAAAACACAACAGAGCTTATTATTGAGGATATTGTGGTCAAATGTCAGTCTATGGAGATAAATAATAATCAAACTTTTGTAGAGAAAGATCCTTGGAGAAGAGATGATGGAGCAGATTGGCAAGGCTGTTCATCGTGGAAAGTAAACAAGCAGAATTTTAAGACAAGCAACAGCAACAACAATTTCAAGAAACAAGAAATTTTACAAACACCGTACAATCTTAGACCAAGAAATAAGATACCTTTATTAATAATTTTATGATTGACATACAACTTAATAATCTAAATTTTTCTTTTATGATAGATACTGGTTCTCCAATGAACTCCTTGCCCATCAAAGATTTTGAAAAGTCAGTAATTGTAAGGTTAAAAATTTTAATACGATTAAATATTTAGATTTTTATGTTTTGGAAGGGGAAGGAACACCTTAATGTGGTTAAGACTGGATCAAAGAATTTGACATAATTAAATTCAACTCTGATAGTACCACTATTAATAAGCTAGTTATAGGCGATAGGATAAATTTTTTAACTTTTGACAATCCTTGCAAAAATATAAATTTTATAAAGATAAAATCATTATTCAGTCTATATTTACTGAAGAAGGGTGTGTTAAAGCGAGTTTTGATATTATTAGATTAATTAAAAGTTTTAATTGTATTTTTAATAGCAAAATTGGCAAGTTAAAAATTTACAAATAGATATTTGTTAAAGTATGATTTTATACCAATATTTTTGAAGGCTAGGAGAGTACCTTTTAAATTAGAAGAAGAATTAAAGGTCACATTAGAACAATGGCGTCAACAGGGTATAATAATCCCTGTGAGATTTTCTCAATGGGCCACTCCTTTAGTATTGGTTAAAAAAAAAGATAATGCGTTGAGAGTTTGTGTTGATTTTAGAGTAACCGTAAATCCACAATTAGAAAGGTTTTAATATCCTCTTCCAAGTATAAGTGACATAATTGCTAAAGGAGGTAATCGAAAAATATACTCGAAAATAGATTTTTCCTGGGCATATTTGCAAATTCCTGTTTCTAAAGAAACTTCCAAATTTTTGACCGTTTCAACCCACAAGGGTCTTTTTCAGTTTAACAGGTTACCTTTTGGACTAACAGTGTTAACTGCTTATTTCCAAATGACCATAGACGAAATTTTTTCTGACATTAACGTGGTTATTTATTATTTAGATGATTTGTTTTTGGTAAGGATAAAGAAGATCATTTTAACAAATTAAGAAAAGTGTTTATAAGAATGTTGGAATATGGTTTGATTGGAAATATTAAAAAAAGTGAATTTAGCAAAGATAGTATTAAATATTTAGGTTACTTAATAGGTGACAAAGGGATACAGCCAATCAAAGAAAAGATTCATCTGATAAGTACCATGACTGAACCTAATAATAAGGATGGATTACATTCTTGGCTGGGTCTTATGAATTATTATTCGAGATTTATAAGAGGTTTTTCTAAATTAGCCAC